TAGAGCTAGAACCCTAGAGGAAGAGCAAGGCCCCACTTTTTTCTTCGGGCTGGGGTGATGAAAGGCCCAACCTTGAGACACTCACATCCTATACAGTGCAGGAGGTGTGCAGAAAATCTAGCTAGATACTCTAGAACAGGGTGGGCAAACTTTTTGACTCGAGGGCCACAATGGGTTCTTAAACTGGACCGGAGGGCCGGAACAAAAGCATGGATGGAGTGTTTGTGTGAACTAATATAAATTCAAAGTAAACATCATTACATAAAAGGGTACGGTCTTTTTTTTTTTTTTAGTTTTTTTAGTTTTATTCATTTCAAACGGGCCGGTGGGGTGTGTAGTTTGCCCACGGCTGCTCTAGAATGTTGGATGAACTTCTCTAACATTTTATGGGTGCATCCTTTTTCAGGAGTGAGTGAGGAGTAGGAGAAAGGTAGGGCTTTGTACAGAAGTACAAGAACCCACTTTTGACAGGTGGCTCTGGGTTTCCTGGAGACCAATTGCTATGAGTGTAGGTTGGAACCACAGAGCAGAAAGGCCAGACATCTGGGTGCAGTGGAACAGGTATGTGCCTGCTCTGACAGACCTGGATTCAACTCTTGGCGCCATCAGTTACTTGCTGTGTGACCCTGAGCAGGAAGACTAACCTCTCTGAGCTTCAGTATGTTCCTCTGTAGAGAGGGAGCAATGACTCTCCCCAATCAGGATTAATGAGATAATGTCTGTTGAGGGCCTAGCAGAATGTCTGGCTTATTAAGATGTGTCCCATGTTAGTATGATCTCACTAGGCTATAAGCCTCCTGCAGGCAGGAGTCATGTTTATTTTTGGCCCAACAACCCAGTAATTAATATAGTGTTTGGTACCTAGTAGGTGCTTTAGAAAGTCTTTATTAATGATTTCATTAATGGTCAAATGTATTTTCCTTCTGTAGGATTTCCCTCTTGCAGGAAGGGTTCCTGTGTGTGAAAATTTCTCCTAACTCAAATCAACTGCTTTTCTTGTGAGCAACTCAAATCCTTGTGCGTTGAAACCTCTGAGCTGGAGGATTAGTGTGTGTTTGTGGGGGTGGCTCTGTCCTGAGTCATCTCTGAGACCCTCACCCTCCCTTATGCTCCTGTGGGAGGTGGGGATTCATCAGCCCCACTTGGAATGAGAGGACTGGAGAAACAAATCAATGGCGAGAGGAATTCCTATTTGGTTCCAGTACTACAGAGAACACAACTGCTTCTTTGAAATGAACCTTCATTTATTTGGAGGGGAAAGCAGTTAGTTCAATAAGGGCTTCCTGGGGCCTTTCAGCATTTTAAAAGATGGAAGAAAGATTTGGAGCAAGGCAAGGTTCCAGTGTTTTCTAAACAACACACTAAGCCCAGCTACTAGTTGGCTGCCCAGAACTTCCTGCTACCCCCTCCCCATCCCAGCCTTCCCCCCAATGCAATGCACTTCCCTCAATAGCCCAGTCACTTCTTGAGACCCTGACCAGGCCTTCCCCAGGTGGGTGGGAGCTGACCTTCATTATAATACTGGGCAGGTGAAGATTCCTTGGACATCTTGCACATGACCCAAATGAGTAGAAATGCTGCTCTATTATATTCCAATTATTTCCTGTCCCTCCATGGCCTGATTCCAGGGACCAAATAAAGAGGTCCTTGTTTGGTGGAGTCCATCCCTGCTCCAGAGTAAGTGAGAGCTGGTCCCTGGCTCTACTTGGTCTGAGGCCACAGGGAAAGGGTGGGGAGGAGGTTGGAGGGTGTTACAGGTGGGGAGGGCTCCACAGGAGATGAGAGGCAGCCCAACCCTGCTTCCAAAAATAAAAATAAGGGAGGAAGGTAAACAAATGGGGCTCCTAACTAGGACCCTGCAGGGGGCATGGCTATTTTCCCTCTTTCCCAAGAGGAACAGCAACCCTCCTCTCCCACGGAGAAGACAAACACAGCTATGGAAATCTCCTGCCATCCAGGCTCCTATCGCCAATTGGAAGTTACTCCTACCTGCACTTGTGTTTGCCAACCACTGTCTTCTCAGATCTGCTTTCTCTCCTTATGAGTAGAAAGCCTTTCATGGAAAATTTAGAATTTGGAACCTTCTTCAGATTCCAAATAGTTATTGTTCCACATCATGCTACTCTTATTTGGGTTTTATTTGAACTCAGAGGAAGTAGAAACCCACATCTAGGGTTTGCTTGGGTGCTCTTGCTGAATTATTAAGAACATGTTAATTAAGCACCTTCTCTATCTGAAGCTCTTGTGTACCTTCCAAACCCAAAGCCTGGAGTCCATATTCCTCATCTGCTAAGGCCAGGGGGCCAGGGGAGAGGATGTGGGTGGGTTCAGTTCAGGGGCAGCTCACTGGGACATCTCTGGGAGATAATGACATGGACGGTCAGAAAGTTTTCATGGCAAGGATAGGAGAAAGGAGCTTTGAGAGCATTATGGTGGCAAGAATGTCTCACTTTCTGTGATGTGGAAGCTGTTATGGTGATAAGGTCTCAGAAAGGCATCAACAGAAAGGGGGAAAGTGGGGAGGGTGGGAGTGAGAAGAAACAGGGTGGTCCTGAAGAGCAGGGCCCAGAGAGAAGCCACATCATCCTGCATCACCGTGTGGCTGGGGAATGACCAGACTTTACCCTGTGTAAAACCATGGCCTCCAGCAGGCTGGACAAGGGCCCCAGCAGTGGCTCTGATCAGCAGGCCACCTTTTCAGAATCACCACGTGGACTCCTGGGATCCATCTGATCTACTGAGTCAGAGTGTCTGTGGGTTAGGCCTAAGAAGCTGAATGTTTTATCAGGTTCCACGGGTGATTCTGATCCTTATTAAAGTTTGCGAGCCCTTCATCTAGAACCCCGTGGTTCTTTGAAAGTGAGCTCTGAAGCCCACAGAGGTAAAGCAACAAGCCTAAGGTCACAGATCTAATTGATGGCAAAGCTCACATGAAAACTAGATGGCCCCTGATCCTCAGAGCAAAGCATGAAAAACTAGACTCCTCCTGACGCCCAGAGCATTCCAACATGCTGGCAGCCTCCTCACCTATTTGGAGCTGTTTCCCTTGCCCCCTACTGTGAGCGCCTGCCCCTTTGATCCATCCCTGCATCCTGCTGGGGCCTGCTCCTTCCTGAGCATACTCTGGTCGTAGCCTCTGCCGGCCAGTGGGCAGGAGCAGAAGGAAGAAAGGCCCACTTCTCTTCTGAGCCTTTAGTAACAGGTGTGGGGATTGGCAAATGAGTAGAGAAGGAGGAAATACACAGTTATAGCTGAGGGGTGACTCGGGTTAGGTTTGTAGTACTAATAGCTAACTTTCCTTGAGCATTTGCTGTGCACCAGACACTGCATTAAATCCTTTCCATGCATTAGTGTAAACCCCATGGAGCAAATTGTAAACAGGTCTATTTTGCAGATGAAGAAACTGAGGCTCGCAGAAGAGCTGTCTTTGCCCAAGGTCACTTAGCGAATGATACGTGGCCAAATCACTTCCACATACAATTAGGAGCTTTGGATGGCCCAATGCAGTGTGAACTGTCATCCACTTCAACCTGACAAGCCTGCAAAAGGACCTTGAGACCTTGGGAAAGAAAAGAAAGCTTCTCTGCAGTGGGATGTGATCACTCAGGGTTGGGGCGGGCGGAGCTTAACCCTTTCCACTTAACACACTGAAACCATTCATGATGGGCATTAGCCGGGCTTTAGAAATGATAATGTGGAGAGTAGGTTAAACAGCCTTTTTCCTTTATCTTTTTAAAAGGGAAACTCCTGATACCAGTTTGCTTTCTTTCCATTTGCCTCTTTCTCTTAAAGCAGCATGTCTTCAGAATCATAGTTTCTGGTGGAATTTGGTTGTGTAGGGTTCTAACTGAGCCCCTGGTGTGACTGCAGGCATGTGTGGTCCATGTCATACAGCAGCTGCTACGTTTTCTGATACCACGGCACATGACTTTGCCGTGATCGCCTCCCTCCATTCATTTTTCTGGAGCGTCCCCCAGAGATAGAAGAAATCAAAGCAGATCCGTGCCTCAGAGGAGGGACAAGTGTTTCCCAGCCCATGTGGACAGCATGTCACACTATCCTCTAGGTTTGCCACTTAACCAGACCTCTTCTTCCTTAGAAGAAATCAGTCAGGTAGCCTTTGAATAACTCAGTAGGACCACCAACCAAAAAAAGAAAAAAAAAAGATGGACATGTTTTTATAGGAGGGGAAGGATTCAATTTCATCCTAGCAGGATTTGGTGTCTGGCAGCTAATGGTGAGGGGCGACTATAATTTAATTCTGGTCATTTCATATATCACCAGAGTTAGGAACATTTTTTGGTGAAAACTGAGAATATGTGATCCTCAGGTCATCTCCCTTCTCTTTCAAATCTCAGGCTTTAGATAACTTAAAGGTAAGTTGGGGCTGTGTGACTGTAAAATGCTCTTATTAACTCATAATGAAGGGAGTGCACTGAGGTGATAGCAAGCCACGCAGGGAGGAGGGGGAGCACGCAGTCTCTGCAAAGCTCTTGAGCAGCGTGGGGATCTCTGCAAAGAGCCCTGGAAATGCTGAATGAAACCGCCTTTCTGTGTACGAGCTGTCTCCCTGCTCTCCAGTGCCGCGTCTGCGGTAACTACAAACTACTTTGTATGCTGCATTCGTGAGGCTGCCTTAGCTAACACATGATTACTACTGAAATAACGCTGGTGTGATGTTCAAGTCCAGTGGCCTTTTTAATTATTAAACTGAGGCTGCTGAATGAATTATTCTGCATACCAGATTTTCCTCCTGTGGTTCTATTTCAAGCGACTTAGCGTGTTCTACTAACACCTGAGTTGGTTCTTAGCCAGCTATCCAATCTGCAAAGCCTTTGCAGAACAAACAGTATTCTCTAATCTCCAAACACACACAAACTGAAAAAAACACACACCAAAAAACCCCCCAATAAACCACAGAAAAAAACTTTACAGTAAGCTCATCAGTAAAGCCAAGATCAGAAAATGCCCACGGCCCCTCCACCAAGCCCCCAACTTACCAAGTGGTAGAGCGATGAAGAAGGGTAGCCAACACAAGATGAACATCCCGACCACTATGCCCAAGGTCTTGGCTGCTTTCTTTTCCCTGGAGAACTTAAACAGTTTGACAGCTATGGAACTCCTGGGGTTGTGGCCCTTGGCCTTGGTACTGCTGAGGGTGTCCTCATGAAAGTTCTTGGAGTGGATCCTCAGGGTCAGCTCCTTGGAGTTGGACATCTCCCTCATGACTCCGGCCTCCAGGTTCTTGGTGGTCCTCTTGGCAACTATGTAGACCCGGCAGTACATGACCAGAATGACAGCCAGAGGGATGTAGAAGGAGCCCAGCGAGGAGAAGAGGGCGTAGAAGGGTTCTTCGGTGACCCCGCATTCCTTGTCATCGTTGGGTGCTGGCTCCTTCCACCCAAGGAGAGGCCCAATGGAGATGACTGTGGACAAGACCCAGACACTGAGGAGCGCCAAGATGGCCTTCCTCCGGGTGACAAGCGTGGGGTACTGCAGAGAATGGCGCACCCCGATGTAGCGATCGATGGAGATGGCGCACAGGCTCAGGATGGAGGCGGTGCAGCACAGGACGTCCACGGCGGCCCAGATGTCGCAGAAGATCCGGCCCAGCACCCAGTAGCCCAGCACCTCCAGGGCAGCCGAGAAGGGCAGCACGGTGAAGCTTAGCAGCAGGTCGGCGATGGCCAGGTTGACGATGAAGTAGTTGGTGGGTGTCCGCAGGTGACGGTTGCAGGCCACAGACAAGATGACTAAGATGTTGCCTACGATGGCAAAGATGATGAAGGCGCCCAGCACCATGCCCACGGAGATGGCCCTGGTGATGTCCAGCTGGGGCAGTCTGGAGTTGTTGGAGGTCTGGTTGGGGCCAGTGAAGTTGGCATTTTTCAACTCTCCCCAGTGGGCAGGTGCTGATGTGTTGTGGCCGGTGTCCAGGTCGGGATTCATCTTAGAGTCCGCCCTCCATAGCCAGCGGGTGGACAGGGCTGGAAGGGCTGCGGGGAAGGCTCCTCAGCTGCCCTGAAACTTTGCCTCCCCCACGGTGGGCTTCTTCCCAGAGGCGCCCTCCTGGCGAGGAGGCATCTCCCCCAGCAGCCGGCAGTGCGTCTCCTGCACCGCGCTCGTTCGCTCGCCTGTGCCTGTCAGAGGGAGGAGGAGAGAGGGGAGAGGCGGCAGCTCCAAGTTAATGGTCCACGTCAGGCGCGCCGGCCCGCTCGCGAGGGAGCAGAGCAG